CGTTCTATCTATCTATCTATCTATCTATCTGTCTGTCTGTCTGTCTGTCGTTCTATCATTCTATCTATCGTTCTATCTATCGTTCTATCATTCTATCTATCGTTCTGTCATCAATCATTCTGTTTATCTGTCTATCTATTGTTCTGTCGTTCTATCTATCTGTAGATCGTCTTGTCTTTCTATCTATCATTCTATCTAGCATATACTGCAGTGTATACTGTAAATACTGTAGATAGTGTTGTTGGTCGGACTAGAACTCATCCAGACTAGATTGAGGTTGCTCCGGTTCTCCGTGATTTTTATTTCCTCAGTATCTGACCCAGAGCGAATCCTGTTGCTGAGCAGTGTTGGGCAAGTTACTTCCAAAATGTAATACATTATATATTACTAGTTACTGTCTTTTGAAAGTAATTAGTTACATTACAATATTACTGTCTCTGAATTGTAATGCATTACACTACTTTTGAGTTACTTTTGAGTTACTTTCATCCAAAATATCCACAGAAGTAGGCTATTGTAAAATGCCAAAATGTAGTTTAATGCTGCTCATTCTACATCCAGTGGAGGGTAACGTGGTAGGTCTATATAGCATAAAATATATGAAATCATATTTAGATACCGGTATGTAGGTCTACATTAATGTTACGTTGTAGTTTAGGTTAAAAAATATAAGCACAAATCGCATTATTACATTCATAAATAACACTGGTAAATAAAGCGAAATATTATCAATTACTTTTGTAATGCGTTACTCCCAACACTGTTGCTGAGTGACCGCTGCCGAATACTGATGTGAAGATGTGGATTGTCTTCATCCCATGATGCACTGGGTCAGTGTGACAGTGATAGATGTTGACCCGGCTGCAGAGTTAAAGAGAGCTCATCCCTGACGCTGGGCGTTCTCTCCCGCTGAGGAGGAGTGTGGCCAACAATATGGGACTTAGACACACACTTCCACACGCACACCTGCTGAGAGGGCAAGTGCTTTGTGAGGTCCAGTCATCCACACATTATGTGGTGCACCCGAAGCTGTTAACACAAGGACCTCACGCACACAAACACATCTCACACTTAACCGATCAATAATAATCACATCATGGAGAAATTCATTGGCTCTGTCTTTGAGGAGACCGCTCTATTGACCACGCTGTTATTTTCTCTTACTCACATCCATACAGACACACAGTCTCTCTTTATTTTGAAACAGGGTGATGGTGGGTTATTTTTGGTTTAAGATTATATATTTATTTTGACTGATGAATTTCCATTACATTTTCAAGCATAATTATTGCTAATTTCTAAGGCAGCATCACAATACCCAAAATTTGTATCTGTATGATTAGCTTTTGATTTGAATAAATTTAATGTGCTTTAATAATTTAACTTAAACATATTTCAGTTAGATGCCAATGCAAAAATGTGATATTTTATATGTAAGTTTTTTTATTCTAATGTTTATATTTGATTTGAGGTTTATTTCAGCTTTTTAAGTTTTAGTCGATAACAACAAAGGTTCATCATTCGATTATGAATAATTCAGTCCAAATTTAAACTGGTTTGTAAGCAAGTTTTACTCTACACAGACGTAATATTTAGGAAGTCCTCACAATCTATTTTATTCTAGATGATTTATTTATTTAAATTTTTTCCCAACATATTATAAGGCAGCATCACACATTTTATGTCTATGTATTATTAATTTAAAGCAATGTAATTTTATTAATTATTTATATATTATTGTAGTATATACACTGAACAAAATTATAAACGCAACACTTGTTTTTGCCCCCATTTCTCATGAGCTGAACTCAAAGATCTAAGACTTTTTCTATGTACACAAAAGGCCTATTTCTCGCAAATATAGTTCACAAATCTGTCCAAATCTGTGTTAGTGAGCACTTCTCCTTTGCCGAGATAATCCATCCACCTCACAGGTGTGGCATATCAAGATGCTGATTAGACAGCATGATTATTGCACAGGTGTGCCTTAAACTGGCCACAATAAAAGGCCACTCTAAAATGTGCAGTTTTATCACACAGCACAATGCCACAGATGTCGCAAGTTTTGAGGGAGCATGCAATTGGCATGCTGACTGCAGGAATGTCCACCAGAGCTGTTGCCCGTAAATTGAATGTTCATTCCTCTACCATCAGCCGACTCCAAAGGCGTTTCAGAGGATGGATTATCTTGGCAAAGGAGAAGTGCTCACTAACACAGATTTAGACAGATTTGTGAACAATATTTGAGAGAAATAGGCCTTTTGTGTACATAGAAAAAGTCTTAGATCTTTGAGTTCAGCTCATGAAAAATGGGGGCAAAAACAAAAGTGTTGCGTTTATAATTTTGTTCAGTGTACTTAATATTTTGAACTAGCTTTTATTTTAACTTTAAAGTTGTAATTTTGTGCTTTTGTAATTTTGATCTTTTTTATATTTTTATTTAGCTTTAATTTATTTTTTATTTCAGTTTTAGTAATATTAGTACTTAAACTTATTTCAGTTGGTTGCCAAGGCGAAATGTCTAATTTTCATGTTTTAAACCAATATTTATGTCCAATTTTATTTCAGCTATATTTCAGATTTTTAAACAATTTTAGTTAATAATAACAACACTGGTTCATCATTTAGAGCAATTTTTGAACTGGTTTGAATGATACTTAAAAGAATGATTTGCTCACAAATTGTTCATCACTGTGGGTTGTGAAAAAGTTTTACTCTACTCTCCAATGAAATGTATTGTAGCAGAACATAAAGATGACTCATTAATTTCCATGCCTTTTCTAGGCCTACAAAACTGTTTTTTAAAATTCCTTGATATCCTTATATTGTCTAGGAGAGTGGAAACCCACTTTTGAGAAATGTCATGCACAGAATTGCTGAGTTAAGAGGTTTTCTTTGAAATGTTTGAGATAGTTAGCGGCGTTAGCATGAGCGCAGGGCTCATTGTACCACTAATGAGCATCATTAATTTCCGCGTGTTGACTGACCTCTGATGCCCGCTCAACCCTGACCACACCATTACACTCGCAAATAAAAGGTTTGGCGGTTTCCACACATTTCTAAACATGTCATGCATTGCCTCGCAGCTCTTCCTGTCCCAGACTCCCTTTCAAATGCTAATAAGCGATGCGGACTCATCGCTTACAGTGTGTAGGCTGTCGCGGTACATGCCTTCCTCTTCATAATCAAAGCGCTCACCGGGCAGTGACCGCCGGGCTCGGCTGCCCGCAATGCTGGCTTGTATTCCTGAGGGTCCTGAGTTTGAATTCTGCTCAGAACTTGAAGTGAAGCCCACCGCATCCAGCTAGCAAACTCTGTTAGCAAAGATGCCGGAGGTTCTCGAGTGCTCATCTGACTCATGGAACATGAGTATGGAGGATGTCATCTGAAATTTCCGTTTCTTGTATTGTTCTGTTCATTTCGGCATGCTTAGGTCATGCATGCTTTTCTGTAAACGTACATATAAGATGTTCATATCTGAGAGGCTAGAAAGTTTATTTTTATCCCAGAAGTCCATGTATAATATGTATTGACGTCAGAACCATTACAGTTTAGAATATATGTAATATGTGACCCTGGACCACAAAACCAGTCTTAAGTCGCTGGGGTATATTTGTAGCAATAGCCAAAAATATATTGTATGGGTCAAAATTATTGATTTTTCTTTTATGCCAAAAATCATTAGGATATTAAGTAAAGATCATGTTCCATGAAGATATTTTGTAAATTTCCTACTGTAAATATATTAAAACTTAATTTTTGATTAGTAATATGCATTGCTAAGAACTTCATTTGGACAACTTTAAAGGCGATTTTCTCAGTATTTTGCACCTCAATTCTCATTCTCATTTTTTTTTTTGCACCCTCAGATTCCAGATTTTAAATAGTTGTACCTCGGCCAAATATCGTCCTATCCTAACAAACCATACATCAATGGAAAGCTTATTTATTCAGCTTTCAGATGTTGTATAAATCTCAATTTCGAAAAATTTACCCTTATGACTGGTTTCGTGGTCCAGGGTCACATATATGCTTTTCTTTAAAATGTATGTCATTTTGCTTGAAGTTTTGTTATCTAATGCTGTGATATCCAGACATTTTTAATTGTGTCTTAAGTATCCAAATATTTTTTGAGGCCACTGTGTGCATGAGAGTACAAATTTTTCATCCACTCGCTGAAAAAAAAAAAAAAAGGTTAAATTGTGGCCTTACTAGTTTTAGTTAGTTGGGCTCCTACACAGCATATAAAACACCACTGCTAAAGAAAGAAGTGAAAATGTAATGTAATCATCTCATTTTCTCTCTGTCCTTCAGCTCCTGCGAACGCTCAGATTGTGCATTCTGGGCAGACGTGTGTGGTGAAGGAGGACAACATCAGTGAAAGGATCTACACCATCAGAGAGGGGGACACGTTAGTTCTGCAGTGTCTGGTCAAAGGACACCCGCGGCCTCAGGTGAACACAAACACACATTCACGTCATACACTGCACTCATTGCTGGGCAGAAAGACAAGCACATCGGGTCCGAATTTAACTTTTTGCCACACCTTCCAATAGTGAGTGGATTTACTGGACAGAAATATTGTAATAAGCCATGGAACTTTATTTGGTATTATTTTTATTTTAAGCAAATACTTTCGTCCTCATGACAGTGTATTTTAGCCCATATTTGTGACAAACAGTGCAGGTCCATATGTCACTTGTAGCATGTATGAGTACTGTATGAGATGTACATCTCTCTAAAAATGCACTTGTCAAAAACAAGAAGAAAAAATGTAGAGCACACAAAGACACAGCGTGATTTTGTTCTTCATATTTTTGTTTTGATAGCTTAATGTGCAGAACATTCGTCATATTTTTGACACATGGACACGTGGAGAGAAAACACTTTTGGCATTCTAGATTAAACTCTAATGGTAAATCTTTCACTGAGGTAAAAGTTAGAAACAAACAACATATGTTTGCTTCAGTAGACAATAAATCTAAATTATTTATTATTTCTCTTTTATTTATTATATTATTTATTAGTTTTAATCTATTAAAAAGATTACAATTAAATAAATGTATATATATATATATAATGTATTATTTATGTATAATAAATAATATTAATTTTAATTGCATTATTTTTATTAAATTTTACACACACACACACACACACACACACACACACACACACGTTGTGTTTC